CCTTTTTTTTCCTTGATTAATCTGAGTAGAAGTTATCAATTTTATTGATTTTCTTTTGAAAGAACCAACTTTTGACTTCCTTGATTTTCTCTATTACTTTTCTGTCTTCAATTTCACTGACTTCTAATTTTTTTTAATGTTTATTTGGTTTTAAAAAAAATTTTTTTTAACGTTTATTTATTTTTGAGACAGAGAGAGACAGAGCATGAACGGGGGAGGGGCAGAGAGAGAGGGAGACACAGAATCTGAAGCAGGCTTCAGGCCCTGAGCCGTCAGCCCAGAGCCTGACGTGGGGCTCGAACTCACGGACCGTGAGATTTTGACCTGAGTTGAAGTCGGACGCTTAACCGACTGAGCCACCCCGGCGCCCCTATTTGTTTTTGAGAGAGAGAAAGAGAGAGAGAGACACGGAGTGTGAGCAGGGGAGGGGCAGAGAGAGAGGGAGACACAGAATCGGAAGCAGGCTCAAGGCTCCGAGCTGTCAGCACAGAGCCCGACGCAGGGCTCGAACCCACGAGCTGTGAGATCATGACCTGAGCCGAAGTCGGACACCCAACCAATTGAGCCACCCAGGTGCCCCCAATTTCACTGATTTCTAATGTCCATTATTTCTGATATTCTGCTTATTTCGGATTTAATGTTTTTTTCTTTTTCTAGTTCCCTAAAGTGGAAGCTTAGATTTACTGATTTTATTCTTTTTCATTTTTTTAAAGAATTTTTTTACCTCTCTTTTTTTTAATGTTTATTTATTTCTGAGAGAGAGAGAGAGAGAGGGAGAACATGTGCTCACAATCGGGGGAGGGGCAGAGAGAGAGGGAGACACAGAATCTGAAGCAGGCTCCAGGCTCTGAGCTGTCAGCACAGAGCCCGACGTGGGGCTTAAACCCACGAACCGCGAGATCATGACCTGAGCTGACGTCAGACGCTTAACCGGGTGAGCCACCCAGGCGCCCCAGATGTACTGACTTTAGGTCTTTCTTCTCTAATGTATCCATTCAATATTATAACTTTCCCTCCAAGCACTGTTTTCACTGCATCCCACAACATTTGATAAATTGCATTTTCCTTTTCATTTAGTTCAAAATTAAACATGAGATGCCATTCCTCATCTATCAGATTGGCAAAAATGTTAAAATTTGATAGTACTTTGTGTGGGTTTAGCTGTGGGGAAGGAGGCACATTTGTAAAGTGGTATCCGAAGTACAGAGTAGTTCAGCCATTTGGGATGGTAATTTGTACACATCTATACAGATTTTTTAAAGTATATGGTTTGGGGCACCTGGGTGGCTCAGTCGGTTAAGCATCTGACTTTGACTCAGGTCATGATCTCGAGGTTCTTGGGTTCGAGCCCTGTGTCGGGCTCTGTGCTGACAGCTCAGAGCCTGGAGCCTGCTTCAGATTCTGTGTCTCCCTCTGTCTTTGCCCCTCCGCCATGTGTACTCTGTCTCTCTCTTTCTCTCTCTCTCTCTCTCTCAAAAATAAAACATTAAAAAAATTTAAAGTATATGGTTCAACTTAGGAATGTGTAGATGTCTGTATATAGGGGTGGTCTGTGCAGGATGTATGAGCCATCTATGTAAGGGGCAGGCTCCGATAGCAAAAACCTGGAAACAATCCAAGTGCCCATTAGTGGAGGACAGCTTTGCTATAATGTATCTCTTCAGTGAAATACTATGCAAAGGAGGCAGGAGATCTCTGATACTCATATTAAAAGATGATTGAGGTTGAATGAAGGTACAGGCCACAGGAAAGGATGTTTAATGGGATAGCACTTGCGTTTTTCACTTCTTTGTTTTTGTTTTTCAATTTTTTGAAATGTTTATTTATTTTTGAGAGACAGAGAGAGACAGAGCACAAGTGGGGGAAGGGCAGAGAGAGAAGGAGACACAGAATCTGAAGCAGGCTCCAGGCTCTGAGCTGTCAGCCCAGAGCCCAACACGGGGCTCGAACCCAGGAGCTGTGAGATCATGACCTGAGCCGAAGTCGGACGCTCAACCGACTGAGCCACCCAGGCGCCCCCCCCCCTTTTTTAAAGTAGGTTCCATACCCACCGTGGGGCTCAAACTTAACAACCTGAGATCAAGAGTCGTTTGCTCTCCTGACTGAGCCAGCCAGGCACCCTGAGACAGGCTATTTTTGATCATTACTGAAAAAAGGAAAATTTGTTTTCTTAGAAGTGTTTTAATAGAAAAGTAATTTAAACTCATTGTGTTTCAAAACTAGAGAAACGGAATCACCCATCTACTCTGCTTACCATTTTGGTACTTTGTGTTTTCCTGAAGTCTTTCTTGCAGCTCATCAACCATATTTTCAATGTCTGTAAGGCCAGCCATGTATTTCCTGGCACACACAAGTTCAGTATCACTACAGGGCCAGGAAACATTGGTTTGGAGGAATTCTACACTTGGTTCCTCAGGGAGAGCACAAAGTCTGGAATTAGGAAGCTACCAAACGAAAGAACACACTGTTGGGGGAGAGAGGGCTCTTCCACCCTCCTTCCTTCTGGAAAGAGAGTCTCTGAGTGGACGGGGGGCGGGGGGGGGGCTTGGCTGTGATTGCCCCCTTTGTGTTCCGCACAAATTTCCGAATGAAAAGCAAGGCTTCTGAGTCTGTAACCAAACAAAACACCACTCGCTCCTTTTGCCAAAGCAGCTCATGCCGACTATAGCTGGTGAATTACAGCTTTCACTGAATCACTGTTTGCTTGTCAACACACGCCTGACATTGGGCTGAGAATGATTTAAACTCGTCTTTCATTCTGTCTACTTTTACTAGATATGGTTGTCATAAACATAACCTCCTTTTTACAATGGATTTTCTCGAAAATCAGATTGGCGGTTTTGCATGGCAACAAACAACACTCCTGAGCCACCCAGCGGTGCAGAGGCAGGGAGCCGCCTCAGCTGCCCCCGCTCCCAGCCAGCTGTGTTGACTTAGTGCACCTGACCTCTCTCATCTGCAGAAGGGAGACAACAGCTGTGCCTGACTTGTAAGTTTATTGTGAGGATTAGATGAGATAAGGAGTCAGGATGGTATTTGTCACAGAGATGGGCAAACAGAGGGCTCTCAGTACAGGATAGCTGGCTACCAAAGTACACTTAGGGAGATTTGAGCAAATACAAAAAAGCATATACACCTGTAACTTATTTGCAAAAATGCAATGTTACTGTACAAAGTTCAAGGTATTTGTTCACAACCACAGGGATCTTAAGACTTACAGAGCATGAGGTTATCAATACTTTTCTGGAGCATCTCCTGTGGGCTAGGAACTGTTCAGAGAAGTAGGTGCTGAAGGAGCCCCTCTGGGCTGCTCCGCTGAGCTCAAAGCCTTTTCCACGATAGCCCTCCTGGCCTTCATTCTGTACCGTGGCACCTCACTGTTTAAACTTTCCCCGTTACGTAGTTCTTAGGATTGCATGACGACTACCTCAGTGAAATCATCCCAGGTGCCCTTCCACAATGAATCTGTTTTCTTATCTGCCCCATCTGCAAGGGGGCTGTGCTTCATGGAGATTTCCTTCAATGCAACTTTTGTAACTGTCCTCCTGCCCCAGTGGAAGTGCTGCCCAATCCCTCTCTGGGCTCTTGGTCCCATCTTGTCCTCCCTCCTCTTTGATGTGGTGGGTCGTGGGGTGACCTTGGGGATGCTATGGCTTGGTATCCTGAAATATTCTCACCCACCAGTACATGCCTTGTTGTCTGTCCCCTTCCGCCTGGATGCTGAGTCCGTAGAGGAACGCAGGAAAACCACACAGCCATTTACCTCCCCAAGGATTAGGGGAGAGTGGGCAGGGAAGGGATGGAGGAAGGAGTGACATTAGGTTTTGCAGGAGCTGAGTCTTGTGAATACAGAACATCCAGCGCTCTGCAGGGACCTTGAACGCAGGGCCCCTGCAGCTGTGGTTAGTGGAAGTTCTGGGCAGAGGAGTTAGGATGTTTTGGAACTCTGGAGAAGGGGCCCTGCCAGCCTTCCAAGCCTTATCTCATTGCCCCAAAGCCTCTGTGAAAAATGCTCCCTGTGGGTCTGAATCCCTGCAGACAGGCGCCCATCTTTCCCTAACTGATAATAGTTAAGATGCTGGGCCTCAATCCCTCAGGCAGGTTTCAGATCTTTCAGCCTTCCCCCTTGTACCTTTTCCCGATCTAGGTAAGCTCCCAGAAGACCCTTCTCTACCCGCAGCCTGGTTCCTCCC